CAGTATCTATAGTCCTTTTCTCTTGTGCAGGTTTTCCAAGGAGAGGAATCTGTTCTGCTTAGAGAACTGGCACTGGGTGGGAGTGGGAATGGGAAGTCTGGCTACTTAAGGAAGAGAGCTAGAAGTCTCAGTGATCAGTATGTAAATTTATAGTAATCACCTTGAAAACATACTGAAAACAGGCACCTTTGTTCTCATCTGGGCATGGTATCCCAGAGTCCCTCACATTTAACTAGTCTGGAGAATATACCACCTACCTTCTGTTGGAATAGAGGTCTAAAAGCTTCTTAAATTGCTTTTCAGCCAATTCTCCCATACTTATCTGTACCTGGTTGTGAAAGATGCTTGGTGCCACCTGTTTTGGGAGTTTTTCTGGAGCTCTGAAATACAAATAAACTCACCTCTTGGACACTCCTAGTTCCCATTCCCAATCTTACAACAGGCACTCCGCGTTCTACTTTCCAAGTTTTCATCATTATCACCGTTTTTGCCTTCATGGGATTATAGGGTTCCCCCTCATCTCCTTTTACTGTCATTTTAGTGAAGTGTTGTGAGGAAATGTTTATTCACTATCTCATATTTATTTTGATGCAAAGTTTTCTGAAACGCATTATTACATGGATATGCCTCTTTTTTTCTGGATAAAAATTTAATTTTCTTTGGTAATTTAGTCATGATTGTGAACACTGATTATTGCATTGAACACAGTAATGACCTCAGGGACTACTAAGAAATGAAGGTTAAGCTCCAGACTAGAGTAGTTTTTCCTTTATTTATGTTTGCTTTTTATAGTGCTTCTGGTTCTTCCCTTGCTTTTATGGCTATCAGCTATCCCTTCTCACTGTTGTAAGTGGGCCTGCCTACAGAGGCATCCACCCCTTTCTCCTTCTAATTTTCTATTTATGATGTGCTGAAGGTCTTGGAATTGCGTGACATAAGCTTTAGAAGCAGACTCTGAAATAAAGACCAGTGTGAAAGTGAGTAGGAGTGTTTCCAAGAGAAACCTTAGTGTAGTGAGGAAATGAGATCAGGAAGGCAAGTAAGCAAGGCAAGGGTGAGACATTAAACAAAGCCTTGTGGAGTAACTATGGCAAGGGTTACCTATGGCTCAATCCTGTGGAGAATTTGTGAGACAGTGTAGGTCTGACGTAAAAGTTGTCCCAAATAGAGTAAAGAGAAAATATTTATACCCCATCTCATCAGTCATTGGTTAAGGGCTGTTGCTGGTGGGATGTAAAGTCCTAAGCATGTTTGCCTCTCTTTCCAAGCAGGTAAAATGTGTTCAACAGCTCAGATGCAGCTTTTCAACAGAGACACATTTGCTGGATGTTGCGAGTATCCGTGTGCAAGAAAATGAAAAAGAGATCTGAGAAAATGAAAAAGAACACTGACAGCACCAACTATAATTCTCCTATGAATAAAGCTTCCATGCTTAAGAGCATGAAGATTTGTAGTGGGAGGCACTATAGAGAGTTAGGCAAAACTTTCAAATCCCATTGCAAACTGAGAATCACATATAGGTCTACACAAAACTTTGTACATAAATGTTCATAAGCAGCATTATTAACAGTAGCCAAAAAGTGAACAACCATTTATCAACTGATGAACAAATAAACAAAATGTAGTATATCCATATAATGGAATATTATTCTGTAATAAAGAGGAATAAGTACTGATACATACTACTATATAGATGAATCTTGAAGACATTATGCTAAATCAAAGAAGCCAATCACAAACAAAGGCCACATATTGTATGATTCCATTTACATGAAATGTCCAGAATAGACAAATCCACAGATACAGAAAGTAGATAAGTGATTGCCAGGGAATGGAGGGAGGAGGGAATGGAATGGGACTGATAATGGGTAGGAGTTTCTTTCTGGGGTGATGAAAATGTCCTGGAATTAGTGGTGATAGTTGCACAACTGCAAATATACTAAAAACCACTGAATTGTATACTTTAAAAATAAGATCCTCATTTTTCTTCCAGGCCAGTTTTCCGCCTTTCTCCCACTATGCCTTGGTTATAGTCTATATAAAACCTCAGCCTCAGAACTGTTCCATGTTCTGGATTTGTCTGATAATTTCCTCATGATTAGATTTAGGTTATATTTTTTGGGGGTAAGATTATCATATAGGTGATGTTGTGAACATCACCTCCAATGCACATGTCACTTTGTCCAATAGCAATGCTACATTTGATCATGTGGTTAAAACGATGCATGTCAGATCACGCCATTGTAAAGGTACCTTTTTCTCCCTGTAATTAAGTAATATGTGTGATATTTTCAGATTATGTGAATATCTTTGACCTTTCACCAAATGAGTTCAGCATCTACTGATGACTTGCCTGAATCAATTACTACGTTGGATGTTGCAAAACAGGCCATCTATGTTTATTCGTATTATTTTGAAGAATATCCCCTCTCAACCCACCACTTTTTGTTTATCACTATGGATTCACAGATTCTCTTACTCAATATATTAGAATCTACTACCATCATTATGCTTTTTGATGTTCCAACTGTCCCAGTTTGATCAGTGCAAGCCCCTTCAAACCAACTCATATGCTGTTTTGACATGCTTTCATTGGTTTTGTGCACTCCCTTGCTTTATGGAACAAGAGTTGTTTCACTCATTTTATACTTTCCTTGCCCCACACTGAAAACCAGTTCAAATCAGTTCTTAGAAATCTTCCTCACTCTTCTTTGATTAAATAGTACTCTGCTATATAGATGTACTATAGTATATCCAACCAGTTTTCCATGGATAAGCATTTAGATTATTTCCAATATTTACAATTACTACAAATAACGTCACAATGAATAACTTTGTATATATGTTGTTTCATATTTGTGGATATATATCTTTAGGTAAATTCCGGAAAGTCTCCTATTCTCTTTTGAACCCATAACAATTAGCTTTTGTTCTTATTAACTCTTGTGAAGGTCACAGATAACCAACACGTTGCTAAATCCAGTGGCCAATTATCCATTTTACTTGATCCCTCAGCAGAACTTGACACAGTTAATTATTAATTATTCCTGCCCTCTTACAATCCTTTTTTTTTTTTAAGATTTTATTTATTTATTTGAAGAGAGAGACACAGCGAGAGAGGGAACACAAGCAGGGGGAGTGGCAGAGGGAGAAGCAGGCTTCCCGCCGAGCAGGGAGCCCGATGTGGGACTCAATCCCAGGACCCTGGGATCACGACCTGAGCCGAAGGCAGACGCTTAACGACTGAGCCACCCAGGCGCCCCTTAAAATACTTCTTTTAAGTTGGCTTCCAGGATACTACTTTCTCTTTCTGCCCTGACATTTTCAGTTGTCTTTGCTGGTTTTGCCTAACTTCTCAGACTTCTGTTATAATGTTCTTGGGCTCCATCTTCAATCTTCTTTCCTCTTCCAAACTCATTCCCTAGAAGACCTTATCTTACATCATGGCTTTACCTATTTTGGCAACTTCCAAATTTCAGCCTGTATCTCTCTGAAATCCAGAGAAAGAAATCATCTTTCCATCTCTTATGTGACATCTGCTTTTGTGTAAAAGAGATCTCAAATTTGACATGTCCAAAACCAAATCCTTATTTTTCTCTCCAACTCAGCTCCTTCCACAATCTTCCCATCTCTGTAAAGGGCAACTCCATCCTTCCAGATACTCAGGTCAAAAATCTTAAGAGTAATCCTTGACTTTTCTTTTTCTTACACCTTACATGCAAATCTATCAGCAAATCTTGTTGGCTGCACTTTCTAAATATATGAATAGAACTTGACTCTTTCACACCATCTCTCCCACTACTATCCTCATCCAGTTCACCTCATTTCTGTCTAGATGAATTCAGTAATTTAATCCCTGCTTTCCCACACCCACATCCATACCCAGGCAATTCTCATTACAACAACTACAGTTACCTTTTAAAATGGAAGTTAGATCTCTGTACTCTTCTCTTAAATACTTTCCAACGGCTTCCCTTTTCATTCAGAATGAAAACTAAAGTGCATAATATGGTCTACAAGTCACTATACAATCTGGATTCCTGTCTCCTCTCAGACTTCATCTCCAACTGTTCTCCCCATCCCTCACTTGCTGTTTCCTGAACATGCTAAGTATACTACCAATTCAGGATTTTTGCACCTTGCCATTTCCTCTGCCTAGAATACTCTTTCCCCAGATATCCACATGCTTTCTTCCTTACTTCCTTAAGTTCTTCTGTTTATAGTTGGGAAAACTGTATAGAATAGGGATCTAACAGCTTCTTAAACAGTTTTCACTCAATTCTTCTTATTTTAGCACCACCCTTTCACCTGCAGTATCCAGAACTTTGAGAAATCTGTAACATAGACTGGGTTGGTTTTGTTTTCCTAACTGCTGTTTTAGAATTAGGTTATTTTAGGTCTGTTAGTTGCCACTCATCCATCTACTTTCAAACTTCCAAAAATGTATGACTGCTTTCTCCTCTCTTATCTGCCCCATCCTTGTAGGCTTACAACTTAAACAAAAAAAACCCTCTTTACTATACTTTTAGTCAGGGTTTGAAAGGAACAAAATATGATATGTACGTCATTCTGACATCTTAATATGGATACTTTGATTCATTTCATTTTAAAAAACATGTACTAGGGGTGCCTGGGTGGTTCAGTCAGTAAGCGTCTGCCTTTGGCTCAGGTCATGATCCTGGGGTCCTGGGATTGAGCCCCGCATCGGGCTCCCTGCTCAGCGGGAAGCCTGCTTCTCCCTCCCCCACTCCCCCTGCTTGTGTGCCCTCTCTCGCTGTCTCTCTCTGTCAAATAAACTCTTAAAAACAAAAACATATACTATAAGGCACTTTCAGAAGGGTAAAACATTTTATAAAAACGAACAAGAAAGCTCTACAAACTTTAAAAACTTTAAAAAATCACAAATATAAAAACTAATAGTTTTGAATTTTGTTCTATTCTTATTTTTCATATGCATATACTATATTCTTTTTTATATACTCAGCATTTCATAAAAACAAGATACTATCAATGAATCAGTTTGTACTATTTATGATAATTTCAATTTATGTGGTGATAGAGGAGCCCTCCCCCTACTTTTGGAAAGGCTGAAACCCGTTCATCATAAAAAAAATGTAACCAAATTTCATTTATTAGAGAAAACATTCCACGAAACCCTTTTACAATCTGAACTGCCCAAGGAGCTATAATATAGCTATTAAAAAAAAAAACAAAAAACTAAGCAGTAGCCTTTCCCACTCACATAGGCCTAAGGTCTAATTTACTCTAGGACAAAAAGGCAATTTCAAAGCACAACTTCATGTATTACCAGATAAAGTAATCAGAAAGTGTATATCAACCAAAATAATAATAAACAACATAATTATCATAAATACATTATTATCAATTGCTGTTATAGCAATTTTCTACAAACTTGGCAACTAGAAACAAAACTTACCTGTCTAAGAAGATATCTGGGAGTGGTGGGTAGGTCTGCATATCAGGCACTCGTTCATGGACTATAACCATAATGAAAGATGTAAACCCAAATACTATAAAAACATATATACAACTCAATATGGTCTTCCAGTACTCTGGGTCCAATCTTCGAATAGAATGTTTGTTTTTACCATTCATGTACTGGTACTGATCAGAATTCAAATCAGTGATGGGTCCATCACAGTCATGTGAAGGCTCCCCATTACAGAGCCACTCTGTGCTCTGAAGAGCACTGATGAAAGGTGTCATGGAACCCATGGGACTGTCACTGTTGTATCTCATCTCTTCTAAAACATCAATATGTATTTTCTGCAATTTTCGGACTGAAAGCATTAACCTTTTAATGTCCCCTAAGATTTTGATTTCCAGAGGAGGAGACCGGAGATCATATTCAGTCAATGTTAATAATGTGATTCCATCAAGTCGATGCTTATTACATAAAATGTCCACATATTCAAAAAAGCCTTCATCCTTTAGCCAAACAGCTACATGCTTGGTAGTCCAGCGACGAATACAGAGGTGATTAGGAACAGCCATTTCCTCCTCCACTGCCTGTCCAGGGAAAACAGGAAAACAAAACAGAAACTTCAGTGTGTCCTAACAACTCCTTTAAGACCAAATACATGTAAACACACCAGAAACAATAATTTATTTACATTGATCTACTGGCTTCTAGAAGAGAGTAAAAGGAACAAAAATTACTCAATGATTGGTTTTCAGTAGATTAACATTCTAATAATTTTATGCATATAAACCCAACAGCAGAAGGCTAATGACTAAACATTTTTACAAAAAATTACTCTACAAATGGCCTTTCCATACCATAGCAACCATAATTTAATTAGAAAAAGCCTACTGTTGGAATAATTGAGAAAAATCATATATTAATGCTTTTCATAAAATGAGTTATAGAAAGATATGCAATGCATAAAAATAAAACAAATTTCAGAAATCTTCATGTTTGATCGAATAAGTATCTCCTACTTCTCCAAAATGAGAAAACAAAAACAAAAACAAAAAACAACACAAAGGCAGACAGATAACTAGTTTTAGGAAACTCCTTAAACATATTTCTACCCACTATACAAATAACGATTTCTACAATAGATATAAAGCCTATAAACCAAATATGAATATCTATATCTTAATAGCTCAGTTCATCCTATACCTTGAATATACGATTATAGAACCGAATAAGCAATTTCCTTCTTAAACTATCACTGAGATTTCAGTGACAAAATTTTTAAAAGAAAACTGTCATTTTGATGTACTCACAAATTTGAGGACCCAAACTTTATATTGGCTTGTAAAAGGCCAATAATGTACTGTTTCAAGAAGTACTAATAATTTTTACTACTTTGATCCACACAGTTCTGTTTATGTTCTTTTTCCATTTTAAAACTTTCAGTAACTTGGGTCTCTATCAGGTTTATAAGATACACAGGAGACAAAGGCCTACATCAAAAAAACCCTATTTCCCTAAAGTATGTTTTCTCAATTACTAAAGCATGTGGGTTTTATGACATTTTCCAGATTTCTGAAGATCCTATTTCCTTCTGAGATGATTTTTTAAAAAACACAGTAGGCAAACTTTTTTAAAGCATAACAACAACAACAACAAAGAATGATACAAGAAATACCCATGTGCCCATTACCCAGCTTGAAAAAAAATATAAAATAATTGCAATACAGATGTTCTGTTTCTTAATCTGGGTATTAGTTATACAGGTCTGTTCACTTTATAAAAATTCAAGAAGCTGTATACTCATGATCTACACTTTTCTCTACATATGTTAAACTATATTTTAAAAGTTTGCTTTAAAAAGCCAAAACCAAAACATCAATACAAGTGACTGTCCCTCTCTGATATCATCCTCTTCCTCCCCCTTTCCAGATAAAATAATTCTTGATTTTGGTATTTATCATTTCTTTATAACATGTATATCTGGCTATGAAAAACCTTCTGTGCTTACTTATGCTAAAAAAAGTGAAAAACTGCTACTGTCCTCCTTTCTTCCCCTATCCACACAAACTTTTGCCACGAAGACTCATAATCACTTGAAAAAGGCAGATACTTAACTACATGAGCACCACTTACACCATCAGAAATACTCAGCCAGCAAGAAACACTCACTAAATATTTCTTAATTGCTAAAAAGCAATCCTAGTTTTTGGAAGCCTTAAATCATATTTTGTTTCCAAACAGAGTTTTTCATACTATCAATCCACAACAGCTTTTCAGTCTGAGGAAATTAACAGCACATCCACCTATAAGGATCTGTATGTTTTAAAAGGCTGTCTAATTCTTATATACTATAGAGCTACAAGAAGTCTCTCTTACTCAGCTCTTTCTAGCTACACTGCCTTTCCTAAGGCCAAGGAATTATGCGTTTTATGCAGTTTAACACTGAATTTTATACATACTAATGTATATCATTTTATATAAGTTATTACAAATATAAAATTCCATTAAAATATCATTTTGCGGGGCGCCTGGGTGGCTCAGTCATTAAGCTTCTGCCTTCGGCTCAGGTCATAATCCCAGGGTGCTGGGATCGAGCCCCACATCAGGCTCCCTGCTTCTCCTTCTCCCTCTGTCTACCACTCTCCCTTCTTGTGCTCTCTGTCAAATAAATAAATAAAATATTTTAAAAATAAAATAAAATAAAATATCATTTTGCTGTTTTAGTTCATATATATACCCAGATGGTTTCATCCCACCCACTACATACATCTTTTTCCCAAGATATGCTCTGAATAAATTATTTCATCTTTGAATATCCAACAAGCACATGCTACAAACTCTGTAGCAGTAACAATGTAGCAAATTTGATAAGCTCATCTCACACACAAAAAGGCCAGATTTCTTCTGTCATTTTATTTTCTATTCTGCTGCCTTTCTCCTTTCTCAAACAGCTTACCACCAATGGGTTCCAAGTCACTCCCATCCTTGTAGCATTATCCTTCAGTATGGTTTTGTCTCATACACTGCTCAAAATGATCTTCTCTCTCATAGTTTTTTTCCCCCGTCTTATATCACCAGCTCTCTACACCCTCAATCAGGCTAACAAACAGGCTTTGAAACTGGTGCTTTAGCTGCTAGAAAATATGAGTTACACAAGGAAGCCTTCCGGAAGTCTTTGAGCCTGCTGTGGCAATGCCCTAAAAACATGACACACTCCACTAATGTGCTTCATCAGGTCAGGACATGTCCTTTAATTGTATGCTACCACATACAGTTAGAGACCCATATTTAGCTAACACTGCGAAAACCTGCTCTAAAGAGGTATATTAAAAAGATGATAAAAGGCTTTAGGGCCAATTTAATATTTCTATTGTGCCATAGAAACTACATGAAACAGGAGAGTTTGAAGTTTCATACAAATCCAAAAAATGAAGAAATTAGGTTAGTAAGTTTTTAAAAACACTTTCAGCTTTTTTTTTTTTTTTTGAGGGGGAGGGGCAGAGGGAGAGGGAAAGAATCCCAAGCAAGTTCCACGTGAGCGTAGAGCCTGATGCAGGACTCTTATCTCATGACCCTGAGATCATGACCTGAGCCCAAATCAAGAGCCAGACGCTTAACCGACTGAGCCACCCAGGCGCCCCAGAACACTTTCAACTTTAATCAATAATTAATATGAATAAATTATCAGTTAAAGGGACTGTTTCTGACCAAGATATAATAAGAGGGACCAAATTTACCCACCCACCTCAAACAACCAAATAATAGACAAAATATATGGGGGGGGGGAGAAAAACTAGCTTCAAGACATTGGGCATCGGACAAAAAAGATCCCTGAAAGACGGGAAACAAAGTAACCCTACTGCCCCAGCTTACTGCCTTGAGAGTTTTTTTTTTTATATATATCTATATAGATATATAAGAGATTTTTTAATTTGACAGAGAGAAACACAAGAGAGAAGAAACACAAGCAGGGGGAGTGGGAGAGGGAGAAGCAGGCTTCCTGACCAGAGCCGAAGGCAGGCGCCTAACGACTGAGCCACCCAGGCGCCCCTGCCTTAAGAGCTTCCAAGTGATGTGTGGCACAGGACACAAAATGGGTGAGGCCTGGCAGACTTGCTGAGTTGAGGAGATGGAGCTGAGAGTTTGGGGAGATCCAGGTGGCTAGTGTTCATGAAATAGAATACTGGAGAGCAGAAAGATGAACAGAGAGAACTTGTTATGGACTGAATGTTTGTGTCTCCCCAAAATTCATATGTTGATATCCTAGCCCACAATTAGGAGGTGATTAGGTCATGAGGCAGAACCCCCATAAATGGGATTAGTTCCCTTATATGAGATATCCCAGAGAGTTTTACCACCCCTTCCACCATTTAAAGACAGAGCTAGAAGATGACTGACTATGAAGCAGGAGGCAGGCCCTCACCAGACACCAAATCTGCTGGGCTTTGATCTTGGACTCCTCAGGCTCCAGAACTGTGAGAAATAAGTGTGTTTTGTTTAAGCCACTCAGTCTACAGTAATTTTAGTGATTTTGTTATAGTAACTAAAAAAGACTAAAACAGAACCCCAGAGATCTGCAGACTCTCCCTTGAATATGCAGCTGAATACTGATTATCACATATACATGAGGAAACAAAATAGGACAGAAAAAAGAACCACCCAGAAAGATTAGGGGGGAACAACATCCAATATACACAGAAGACCAATAAAAGTGCCTACCCCAAACAGCCAGACTGGAAAAAAAAAAGAAAATCTCACAATCCATGGGGCATTGGGCAAAGCACACAGGAAGATCTTGTCATAGTAGTGAGACAAAATGAATCTTAAAGCAGTAGTTATTCAACTGGGGGCAATTTGCCACCCCTCCCCACATTTGGCAATTTCTGGAGACATTATTGGTTGTCACAACTGGGGGGGTCACCTAAAGGTTGCTGTTAAACATTTTACAAAGCACAGCATAGCCCTTCACAACAAAGAATTAACTGATCCAAATGTTATAGTGCTGATATTGAGAAACCCTGCCCTAGAATGAACATGTCTCTGGTCCAGCCAAACAAATCTTAAAAGCAAGATCCAAAAGGATCAAATTGTTTTCCAGTAATTTAACTACCTCCCACAACAAAGCTCAAGAATATTACTAGGAATACAAAAGTATTCAGCACCAGATAAAATCCATAATATCTGGCATCCAATCAAAGATTACCAGACATGTAAAGTAGGAAAATTCACCTATAATGAATAGAAAACCAATCAGCCAAAATTGACCCAAAACTGATACAAATAATAGAATTAGCAGACAAGGAAATTAACTAAGTTATAAGAACTCTATTACGTATGTTCAAAAAATTAGACATGGACACAAAGAACATTCAATTCTAACTTCTAAAGATGAACTTACAATATATGCAATGAAAAATATGCTGGATGGAATTAACAGCTGATTCTTATCTGTAAAAGATAAGAATAATAAACTTGAAGACATAACAATAGGAATTATTCAAAATGAAATACAAGAAATATCATTTTTTCCTATCTTCCAGAAAAGGAGAGAACCAATCTTCCCTCTTTCTTTTCTTTTTTCTTTTCT